ATTGTCTTGAATGAGGTTCTGTATTCTCCTGTGTTATCCCGAGATAATGTAAGTTTGCTGCAAGTCAGCATTTGTTTTTCCTATTAAATATACCTTTCTACTTTAAAATCCTGAGTCTCTCCGAGTCCTGCCTGCACATGGGTTCTACCACACACCAGAATCTTAACAATTTCAGGCTGAGGTAGCTCTAAGAGATTGACTAGTATATTGTGGAAAATATGTATTTAAAAAAGTTGTATATTTAAGTTGTAATTGTTAAACATTTGTTCTTTTTCTTTTTGCAGCGACTCCAGTTCCTATGCCAACCAGTCTTTGACAACTCCAGAACCCCAATGAAAATAATGGAGCTGCAGACCATGGAAACGGAAGTACTGCAGCCGTTTTTGATGCAGTCACAAGAAATTACATAAACTCTACAAAATCTGCAATTTCATGAGTCCACAAAAAAAAAAATCCGGTGACAAAGTTCTCCTTTAATTTGAAAATAAACTTTTGCAATAAGTTTGTCTCTTTTCATTAGCACCAAATTGTGAATAAATAAAAAAAAAGTATATATATAGATATATAGATAGCTAGATTAGATAGCCAGATAGATAGCTAGATAGATAGCTAGATAGCTAGATAGCTAGATAGCTAGATAGCTAGATAGATAGATAGATAGATAGATAGATAGATAGATAGATAGATAGATAGATAGATAGATAGATAGATAGATAGATAGATAGATATTTTCAGCTCTTTACCCTCAGTCCTTGAGGGGTCATGGGAGTTTGCCCATCCAGTCTACATGTGTTTTGTAGACCTGGAGAAGGCATTCGACTGTGGTCCTCGGGGTACACTGTGGGGGGTGCTCCATGAATATGGGATTGGGAGCTCATTGTTATGGGCTGTTTAGTCCCTATGCAAGCGGTGCAAGAGTTTGGTTCGCATTGCCGGTAGCAAGTCAGACCCCTTCAGGATGGGAGTTGGACTCTTCCATGGCTGCCCGTTGTCACCGATTCTGTTCATAACTTTTATAGACAGAATTTCTCTGTGCAGCTAGGGGGTGGAGAGTTTTCGGTTCGGTGGCCTCAGGATTCCATCTTTGCAGATGAAGTGGTCCTGTTGGCATCCTCATGGTATGATCTTCTGCTCTCACTGGAACAGTTTGCAGCCGTATGACTGCCCATAGGGGACAAAAGAAGGACATACAGTCGAGTGTGAAGCGGCTGGGATGAGAATCAGTACCTTCAAATCTGAGGCCATGGTCCTTAACCGGAAAAGGGTGAATTGCTCTCTTCAGGTCGAGGGTGAGGTTCTGCCTCAAGTGGAGGAGTCAGGTATCTCAGGGTTTTGTTCATGAGTGAGGGAAGAATGGAGCGTGAGATTGACAGACGGAATGGTGCAGCATCTGCTATATTGTGGACTCTGTACCAGTCCAATGTGGTGAAGAGAGAGCTGAGCTGTAAAGCAAAGCTCTCTGTTTACTGGTCGGTCTACGTTCCTACCCTCACCTATGGTCATGAGCTCTGGGTAGTGACCAAAAGAATGAAATCATGAATATAGGCAATTGAAATGAGTTTCCTCCACAGAGTAACTGGACTCTCCTTTAGAGATAGGTTGAGGAGTTCAGTTATCTTGGAGAGACTCAGGAGTAGAATTGCTGCTCCTCCACATCGAGAGGAACCAGTTGAGGTGGTTCGGGCATCTGGTAAGGATGCTCCCTGGATTCCTCCTTGGGGAGGTGCTTTGAGCATGTCCAACTGGGAGGACACCCCAGGGCAAATATAGGACACGCTGGAGAGACTATGTCTCTCAGTTGGCCTGGGAACACCTTTGGGTCCTTCCAGAAGAGGTGGCTGTGGAAAGACGTGTCTGGACCTCCCTGCTCAAGCTGCTGCCCCACAACTCAACTTTGGAATAAGCAAAAGCTGGATGGATGGATGGATGGATGGATGGATGGATCATTTCAGCTGATCTGCTGCTTTTAACAAGATGGTGTTCTGTTGTCATGAAATCTAAACACAAAGCTGTAACAAACAAGGGAAAAGCCTCCACAAGCGTGTTGAGTTTGGTCTTCAAGGCTTTTTTTTGGTTAAACTTGCATTCAGTTCAGAGGTTTTCTATTGTTTGTATTTTATAGTTCAAATATTTTTCCTGTGCTTACTGCATAACTTTGAGTTAGTTCACAATAAATTAAGAATAAATAACATATCTGAATATGACATGTTTAGTGTTTATATTTTGGGAGCTTTGCTCTCTTGAGCAAAATCCATAAAATCTACATATTTTGCATTGAATTATAACAGTTTTTATGTTTTTCTGCATCATAACCTCATAAAACAGATTTTCTCTCTGAATCTGAAACTTTTGTTATTGTTGTTGTTGTTGGACTGCAGGTGACAGGCAGCTTTAATTAAGAAAGGTGTTTGGGAGTGGTGGTGCAAAGGTTAGAGAAGGTGGGCCTGTGATCGGAAGATTGCCGGTTCAAGCCTCGGTACCGACAACATCAAAAATGTGGGTGGGGTAGGTGACGCACCTACACCTGCCCCCACCCTCATTCATCCCACTCTGGGCCCTTGAGCAAAGCCCTTAACCCCCACCATCTGCTCCTCCGGCTGTCCTAGATAGCAGCTCTCTGCTCCACACAGAGGGCTGTGGTAGCTCGGTGGTCTGCGGTTGCGTCAGGAAGGGCATCCGGCATGTGGCGACCCCTAATGCAGGGAGCAGCCGAAAGAAGAAGAAAAAACAAAACTGTATTTTTTTAATAAACAATCCATGCTTCTTGAATTCATCTTGTGTAAGTGTATCATTCTCAGTTCCTTTCAACTCTGGGTATTCTGTTCTCGTGACAAGAAATCTCTCCAGCAAGTCCTGGGTCTTCCCCAGGGTCCCCTCCCAGTCATGTCCGAAGCACCTCCCTAAGGAGGTGTTCAGGGAGCATCCTTGCCAGATGACCAAACCACCTCCACTGGCTCCTCTCAATGTGGAGGAGCAACGGTTCTACTGTCTCTCCCAGATAACTGAACTTCTCACCCTATCTCTAAGGGAGAGTCCAGCTACCCTGCAGAGGAAACTCATTTCAACCGCCTGTATCCACAATCTCATTCTTTCGGTCACTACCCAGAGTTTGTGACCATAGGTGAGGATAGTAACATAAACCGACCGGTAAACAGAGAGCTTTCCCTTACAGCTCAGCTCCCTGTTCACCACAAAGAACCGGCACAGAGTCCGCAATACTGCAGATGTTGCACCAATCCATCTGTCAATCTCACGCTCCATTCTCCCCTCAATCGTGAACAAAACCTCGAGATACCTGAACTCCTCTACTTGAGGCAGAACCTCACCTTCGACCCGAAGAGAGCAATCCACTCTTTTGACTAACCATGGCCTAAGATTTGGAGGTTTTCACCATATCATTACTAGTCAGTGGTTCAAGTGAGTTACTTACTTTTTTTTTTTAAGTTGGCGTAGGTAAAAAAAAAAAATCAGAAAAGTGTTATTGCCTTGAAATATTCAATTTATCAAATCATGTGCATGCATTGTTCTGTTCACCTCTACATCCTCTACATCCTGATGAACGTGGAACTGATTATACTTCAGACTCCTCCCCGACAATTGCTTCAATTTAAAAATATAAACAGATGCAGATATGCCCTGCATGTTAGAGTTTTCTCTCTGCACGATCAAGAATTATGTCTACATGCATGAAAATGAGGAACGTGAGTCAGAGATGCTCCTAAATAAGTTTGTGGAGTGTAAAAATGTGTTTGACACACAAAGAGGAGTGATTGTGTGTGAAACTGTGGTTGTCTTGAATTTTGCCAGTGTAGCACTAGACTGAAAATTTTCCAACTTTACACATCCCTATGATTACTGTAAACACAGAACAAGCCTCCCAGTTCTTCTAGTGAAGATCTCCTGCAGCACCACAGCTGCCATTGTTCCATAATTACACTCAACTTAATGCAGCTCTTTATGAACATGTCATGACAGATACTGTATGTCACTGTCTGCACCATGTTGATCTGGGGAATCATTACAGCAGAGTTGTTCTGAATTAGTTGGCTGATCTTTCTTCTCAGTGAGGATAGAAGTGGCCCTAAGGCAATTCAGACACATTTTATGTGCCTCATCTGTTTTTTCTCCTCACAGGCGTGTGGTCACTGATGTGTGTGTACAACTACTGTATATGTGACAAAAAGAAAAAAGAAACTTTACAGTTTACATTGAAGTGAGTAGTATCATTTTAGAGGTGTGTTATACTACATGTTGCACGAGTTTCGGTTTTCTTGTTTGAATTGTAAACATAAATGCTCAAACCTTTTTTTCCACGGGACCAGAGGGTGTGCTCCAATTACAGGGGCACCACCCTCCTTAGCCTCCCTGGTAAGGTCTATTTAGGGGCACTGGAGAAGTGAGTCCGATCATTGGTCGAACCTCAGATCCAGGAGGAACCATGCGGGTTCCGTCCTGGCCATGGAACACTGAACCAGCTCTTTACCCTCACTAGGGTCCTCGAGGGGTTATGGGAGTTTGCCCATCCAGTCTACATGTGTTTTGTGGACTTGGAGAAGTCCGTGCTCTTTGAGGTAAAATGTGGGGGATGCTCCGCAAGTATGGGATTGGGGACCGTGGTATGGGCTGTTCGGTCCTTATACAAGCAGTGCAAGAGTTTAGTTCATATTGCTGGCAGTAAGTTGGACCCTCAATATCACCTATTCTGTTCATAACGTTCATGGACATAATTTCTCAGTGCAGCCAGGGTCAGAGGGAGTACAGTTGGGTGGCCTCAGGATTCCATCTCTGCTCTTTGCAGATGGTGATGTCCTGTTGGTGTCATTGTGCAGTGATCTTCAGCTCTCACTGGAGCAGTTCACAGCTGAGTGTGAAGCTGATGGGATAAGAATCAGCACCTCTAAATCTGAGCCCATGTTCCTCAGTTGGAAAAAGGTGGATTGCTCTCTTTGGGTCAAGGGTGAGGAAAGCCAGACCTCACAGACACTCTGCCATTGAAACAGGCTCAGAAGATGATAGTGGATGAAGAGTATGAAGAGGAGACCAAGGACAAGGCTCGACTGCAGTAGATGGATGGAGTGACTTCTGCTATTTGGACCTGTATTAATATGGACACGCATCTCAGTTTACTTGCCAATACATGTATATACAAAATTGACCACAGTACTTTTGAGTATTACCATTCCCTCATGGTGGAGTGGGGTCATTGAAGGAAATGTTAAAGATTTTGTGACAGACGCTGTAACAATTGTCATAACCACTGCCAGAAATGTAAAAATGAAACATGTTATCTACATTGTACATGTACTGAATTTAGTGGTAAAAACATCCCTAGATCAAACAACTGGCTTAGATGATTTGCACACAAGGACACAAAAAGTAGTATTTTAGATCCTGCAGTACTGCTAAGGAAAAGACTGCAACAGCAAATGACCTGTGCAGAGATTAAACTGATCCAGGAGGTGGACACAAGCTGTAACGTCATGTTCTTGATGCCACAATGCTTATACAGTATGATGTGATAGATAAATGGAACTGCTCTGGCATCCCTCAGATCCAAAAGTAATCCTCTTTGTTCTGAGGAAACAAGCAGAATTTTGTTTAAGAGAGCTCACATCATTTTGCAAGGCAACAGTAGAAATGTCCCAGGAGGAGTGTCTCAGGGTCAAAGGTCATTCCCTTAATCAAAATGTTGCTTTACACAATGCAGGAAAAACTGAGCAGTACCATCAATGTGACAGCAAAAGCTCAGAGACAGAACACATCTACCACCCTCATCTATAAGAATGACACATCTGAGAACTGAATTTTCTTATCATTGTCCACAATACTTGACACAAGATTTAAACCTATCGATTCCTGCAATTCAGACAAAGCACAAACTGACTACTGAATGTGCAGTACACATGAGGTCAACAATGGACACATCTACTGATCCTCCATCTACATCAGTTCCACATCAGTCAGCAGCGCCAATGGCACAGAATCTACTAATCGGCCATTTGAAGCTGAAGTGTAGAAGTATAGAGCTGTTACGTGAAATAAAATTATTGTTGAGCTGTATCTCGTTATAACGAGAAATCGTTATGAGATACAGCTCAACAATAATTTTACTTCATGTGACAGCTCTATGCTCCCGTACTGAAGATTCTGCACATTAAAAAATGAAGTGCTTTAGAAACTCTGTGTCAGCCAGCGCAGGACTTGTTTGGCAAAAGTCAGATGATCAATGTTCAAAGCTTTGAAAGTGCTGAGGTTGCATCACTGCTTTGGTACCCATTTCAATGGTTTGTGAAAAAGTGAATCATCGCTGGAATTTGTGACGTTTTGATGGTAAATTTGCACAAAACATAACGAACCAGCAAGTGACATACAGCGAGACATGGAGCCAGCCAGCCTTATGTGTTTAGTTTACCAGTACATGAGCACTTCTACACATAATTTTTTTTTACAAAAATTATATAAAGTACTATATTGAAATAAATTACAATCTGATCTGATAAATGTAAACTGGTTAATTGCATTAAGTCATGGAGGCAGGAAACTTGCAGCACAAGTGTCACTCTAAACTGGTATTGTGTTGTAAAACAGATGAGATTTATAAAAATCTGTTACTTTTACAAATGTCAAGAAGCCACAAGTAAAGGCTCATCATGCCATGGTACATATTTTAAACAAGTTTACTCATCAGAAATATTTATTCAGCAAATAACCATTAAAAAAGTTATGTTTAAAGCACCTGTATGACAACCTGATTTTATACAGAAATGTGGCATGATGTTGAACATCTCTACTCCATTGAATGGCCACCCAGAATGAAGCCAGTTCATTTCAAGCTGCTCTTTATTCTTTTGACCACCAGATGTGGCCAAAGAGAATCATGTTAAAGTTTTGAGTAATTACCAGTAATCTTTTTCAAACCAAGCTCAGCGTTTCAGAAAAGCTCCATTTGACCATCACTAACAAAATCCATCCACCACATGTAATGTTATTAGGCAATTATTAATGCAGAAAATAAGAGAACACATTTTATAAATTTAAACCCATCAGTGCTCATTTGTCTAGCATTTGATCAATTCAAAGGTTGAATGAATTGAACAAGCAGATGCCACTGCAGAGGTCCACTGATACATGACAGAGTTCTTAAAACAATGAAGATTCTCTGACGTACTGGATAAAGCACAAACATTGTTACCCACATTTGTTTTCAACAGCAGAGATGGGCAGTGGTGGGGCAGAGGTTTGAGAAGGTGAACTTGGGATCGGAAAGTTGCCGGTGTACCCCGCCCCTCGCACAGTGATTGCTGGACATGGGCACCGGTGACCCCCGTGACCCAAAAATGGAAGAAGCGGGTTAAAGATAATAGATGGATGGATGGATAATTCATAGGCTAAATGGTCAAGCAAATCCAGCAAAAGTTTAAAATCTAGCTTTCAAACAAAACCACCTACACAAAATCAGCTTCATGCATACTCCTGAAGAAAAATAAGTCTTAAGCAGTATTTGTCTTTCTGTTCCAATTGTTCTTGGAACTATTGGCTAAATCTGTCCATCTAGTTTACATTATACAAACATAATTTCACTGTATTTCAGTACAACGATAAAGTTTATTCTGATTCCGATTTTAGTGAGTAGGAAAGGAACCTACTAGTATCTGTGCTATGTGTAGTCATTGTATGATGACCACACATAGCACAATACAATGAATAACAAAATTAGTTCTCTGCATTTAACCCATCACACATGAGATGCATCCAGGTGGAGCAGTGGGCAGCTACCTGGGGAGCAATTGGGGATTGGGTGTCTTGTTCAGGAACACCATGACATGTGGGCATGGCAGGGAGTTGAGCCTGTGACTTTTTGGCCCCCAGTCGGCTGCCCGGCCTCTACACCATCTTGGCCCCCCGGTACACAAACTTGTCACACACTTTGGCTGTATGTCCGTTTCCTTATGGAAACAAAGCACCTTTCCACAAAACACTTTTTTGGTATATTTATAGTTTAATCTACATTTAAAATAATTAAACAAACTTGGGCTTTATAATTTTCCAGCATTATTGTTTGAAACAGTGGAGCGAACAGTATGGCTATGAAGTTCCTGCAGACCCAGCTGAACTGTAGAAAGGCCTCTCATGCAAATAAAAAAAAAACCCCAGCCAACTCAACACTTAGCAGCAGATACTTTATTTTACATTAAAACATCCTCAACTTGACACACAGCCTCTCTATAAATGACAGGACAAGGACACAAATCAAGTACAATTCAAATATTTTCTCCATCGGCTGCAAGCTAAGATCATAAAACAGGTTAGCCATGATGTGGGACAAATCACATGCTGCCAGACTGCATGCATCTGTCAACATCTGGCATCAAATCCGTCACACTGACTTCTCAGGAACCACAGAAACTTATTGCTTCTGTTAGAAACTTGGATCATAGGAAGGAGCTTCACGTCTTGAACTGAGAATTCAGCATAAATGACAAAAAGTTCAGAGAATTTACACACCCAACAGACCTGCAATGCTCTTCAGACCTGGGTGTCTGCTCACATGCATGGTCTCTGGGCAGGAAAATTTAATAAAAGTAGAGTAGGTCTCATGAGCCTCGGCTGCAACACCAGCTAGAATTTGCATGATCCTCAGCAGAACGGCCTCACTGAAAAACAGCACATTTATCACTTTAAACTATAGAAAAGATAAGAAACCGATGCATTGGTGAAGTTACTATAATGCAGGATGAATACACAGGAAGAACTACCCACCTGCCAACATGAATGCTGGAGGCCAGACACCAGGCAGCCTCTGCCTCTGGTGTCGGAGGCTCCTGCAGAACCCGACGAGCCAAACAGAGAGCCGCTCCTGCCAGTTGCACAGGCAGAAACACCACACACTGGAACTCCAGGAGGGACAGCTCCAGCAGATAACGAGCCATCCACACCACCTGGAGGCACAGACGTCAGGGTAGACGATGCTTCAGACTAAAAGCAAAAAGAACTGGGCCGAGAGCACACAGTGAACACGTACCGTAGCGCTACAGCGAGCTACAGAAGCAAAGATGAGGAGGAAGTGCAGAGCAGGACAGTGGGACAGATTGAACTTGAGCACAGACAGGACTTTACGTTCCATTCTCAGCAGCTGATGCTTCGTGTATGCATGGTCCATCAAGCTGCAGAGCCCAGATGCCTGAACAGAGCAAACATGGACAAATCTTATGAAAAGCTTTCCTTCAAGAGATCAAAGTCTCATATTACCAACTTTTCTCAAATCTGGCTTTAATACTTGTAGCTGATATTTAACAACAGAACTCAACCAACATCTTATATAATAGTAATTCAGAAAAACTGGTCCATGCATTGGTCAAATCTAGACTGGATTATTGAAATGGTTTATCTGGGTGTCTAAAAACTTCTTTGAAAAGTCTTCGGTTGATCCAAAATGCTGCTGCCAGAGTTTTAACTGGAGTTAGTAGGAGATCATCTCTCTCCAGTTTTAGCTTCTCTCCACTAGCTCCCTGTCAAATTCACAACTGAATTCAAAATCTTACTTCTAACCTACAAAGCCCTCAACAACCTAGCTCCATCGTATATACGAGATCTTATTGTTCCATATTTTCCTAACAGAGCACTTTGCTCTTAGTCTGCAGGTTTACTTGAGGTTCCTAGAGTTTCCAAAAGCAGAATGGGCGGAAGATCTTTCAGTTATCAGGCTCCTCTCTTGTGGAACAAACTTGCAGTTTTTGTCCGTGAGGCTGACACATTGTCCAGTTTTAAGACTGGGATTAAGACTTTCCTTTTTGATAAATCCGATAGTTATGGTTGGCTTGTTATTCTGCTAAAGGCTTAGACTACTAGAGGACAAGTTGACCTCATTTCATTAAATTAATCGTTAAAATTGAATAGTTTTCATTTGATACTATTTCTATCTTAACATGATTCTCAACCTGCCATTGTGTATCTGTTCCTCCTTCCTGTTCCTCTCAAACCCAGCTGGTTGAAGCAGATGGCCGCTTGTCCTGAGCCTGGTTCTGCTAAATGTTTCTTCCTCATCAGGGAGTTTTTCCTTTCCACTGTCGCCTTCATGCTTGCTCAAGAGGAGAGTTCTGTGATGGAATTAATTCAAAGCAGTCTGCTCCTCAGATAAATAGTGTTAATTATTTTTATACATGAATGTTTCTGTTCAGTGCCCTGAGATGACTTCTGTTGTGACTTGGTGCTATATAAATAAACTGAATTGAATTGAACCAGCAACAAATTGTTGACTCAGAAACGTTAGCGCTCTGCAGTTTTGGAGCTGTGGATTGTTGAGTCTGCAAACCTCTGGGAGGAGGCTCTCTTCTTTCTTGGCTGCGATGAACAGGCACACCACGCCAAGAAGCTGCATGTTGGCTGTGGACACATTCAGCAGCTGCAGCGCACGGTTCAGGAGGTGCACAGCCAAATAGAGTGTCTCCTCTTGGAACTGCATCAGCTCCTGGCAAGAAGTGAATGCATTATAAAAAGAAGTAGTAGTCAAAACATAATTTAAATAATCTTTAGTCCTTTCTGTTTAGATTAGAAAAACAACAACAACAAGAAGAAGAAGGGAGACTCACGTGTACTTGAATGAGCCAGTCTACTAGAATACCTCGAGCAGCATTGGTAAAGTAATGGGGCAGATTAGCGTTGGAAAGAGAGTTCTGTGACTGGGTTCTCTGCAGAATGAAAACCAAAAACAGAAGAGTCTAATTAAACTTGCTGCGTAGCAAAAAGGAGCAGCCCTCCAGACAAAACCATTTAAAGGTCATAGTTTCTCACCATCATGTCCAAGAACATATCCCAGGCGAATGTCCGATCCCAAATGAGGTCCAGTTTCTCGAGCACTGTCTCTACTTCATGTCGCAAGAAGCTGGGAACCAAAGTCTGAAGGCTAGGAAGGCCCTGAAAGCCATGAGTGTACAGGAGTGCAATGGAGATCTCCCCACACTCATCTGCTGCACAAGAAGGAAAAGAGATGAAGACCAGGACTGAAGGGCTCTACTGAAAACCCATGACTTCGTTTGAAGGTCATCACTTGTGATCCACATCAGTCAGAAGAGCCATGCTAGTTTGAAGTGATCCCACAACTTCAAGGTTGAAAAAGAAAGTTTCTCTAACATCAATAAAACACTCAGGTTTGACTCCAACAGGAATAGCTTGATATTTTGTAGGTGGGGTTTTGTGGAGTCACAGAATATGCAGCAGAAACCACTCAGTGGAAAACTTTGAAACATAAAGCTGTTTTCTGGAGATGAGCTGCTCCTCCACATCAAGAGGAGCCAGTGGAGATGGTTTGGGCATTTGGTAAGGATGCTCCCATTGCACCTCCTTAGGGAGGTTCTCGGGACATGCCTGACTGGGAAGAGGCCCCGGGGAAGACCCAGGACAAGCTGGAGAGACTATAGGTCTCTCGGCTGGTCCAGGACCGCCTTGGGGTCTTCCCAGAAGAGCTGGCTGTGGAAAGAGATGTCTGGACCTCCCTGCTTAAGCTGCTGCTCCAGAGACTGGAGTCCAGAACAAGTGGAAGATACTTGTTGGATGAATGCTCTCCATGTGGATATAGCCACTGTCTTCAGTGTAAACAGACACAGACTTGTATGTTAAAAAGTAAAATAAAAAAAATAAAAAATACAGTCGTCTTCTTCTTCCAGCTTTTCCCTCTTTAGGAGTCTCCACAGCGAGTCATCCTCCTCCATCTCACTCTGTCCTCTGCATCCTCTGTCCTCACTCCAACTTCCTCCATGTCCTCTCTAACTGCATCTATATATCTCCTCTTTGTCTTTTTCCTGACAGCTGCATTTCTAACATTCTTCTACCAATATATCCACTGTCCCTCCTCTGGACATGTCCAATCCATCTCAGTCTGGTCTCTCTAACTTTATCTCCCAGTTGTTCAACCTGTGCTGTACCTCTGATGATCTCAATCCTACCACCGTCTTGCAAACTTTTCTTTGACCTTTGTCGACACCTTTTTGTCAAAATTCACTCCTGAAACTTTTCTCCATCCACTCCATCCTGCCTGGACTCTCTTCTTCACCTCTTTACCACATTCCCCATTTTCCTGGACAATGGACCCCAGGTACTTGAAGTCCTGCACCTTTGTGACCTCTGCTCCTTGTAGCTTCACTGTTCCACCGGCCTCCCTCTCATTCACACACATGCACTCTGTCTTCCTGCGGCTGACTTTCATTCCTCTTCTTTTAAGTGCATACCTCCATCTCTCCAAGTTCTCTTCCACCTGTTCCTTCTTCTCACCACAGATCACAATGTCATCTGCAAACATCATAGTTCACAAGGATTCCTGCCTGACCTCATCTGTTAGTCGGTCCATCACCAGATCAAACAAGAAGGGGCTCAGAGCCGCTCCTTGATGCACTCCCACCTCCACCTTGAAGCTATCCATCACTCCTACAGCACATCTCACCACTGTCCTGCTGTCCTCATACAATAATGTAATGCGTTATGTGTTGTCATTATATGTTTCCATACAATGGCAAAATTGGCTCTCTGCATTTAACCCATCCAGCCCCAGGTGGTGCAGTGGGCAGCTATTGAAAGTGCCCAGGGAGCAATTGGTGATAGGGTGTGCTGCTCAGAGTCCTGTACCAGTTGAACATACTTCTCTGCCACTCCAGATTTCCTCATGCTATACCACACCTCCTCCCTCGACACCCTGTCGTGTACTTTTTCTAAATCCACAAAGACATGATGGAGTTCTTTCTGACCCTCTCTGTACTTCTCCATCAGCATCCTCAAAGCAAAAAAGTAAAAAATAAAAATGAGAGTAAAAGATTTGTAAATATCTCCTGCATGAAATACAATAAAAATGACCCTGGACTGATTTAAATGTTGCAGAAAGGCACTTTGGTTTACAGCTCGTTAACTCGTCTCCTGAAGAAATCTGATGTTTTGAACTGAAACTGTTCCGAGTGATTCCTACTTCAGGTTTGATGCTTATTACTAATAATGCCACAGAACACCACTACTAAATATTCAAACTATGCCCCATCTGTAATTTGGCTCCCGACAGTGTCAAACAGAGCAAGTTTAATGTTTACGTCATAAACCTTTAACAGTTATTTAAGAAGATTTTGAATTTGGAAAGTTAAGCTTCTCTAAAATGAAAAAGAAAAATGAACTACCAGCAGAGCCTGTCCTGTTGTCCTCCTGACGCCCCATGATGATGTCTTCAGGGGTTTGTGTCACCAGCCTCCCGTCCTGCAGAGAATCAACACCTCACAGGTCAACAGGAGCCGAGGTTTGGACCATTAAACTGGTTTCAGCTTTCCTCCTGGACTTTAGTCAGAAAGAGATGGTTCTGGGTTAGAATGATGAAACAGAATGTGAGGCACACCCATCTGCACTAAGGTTCTGTTGTGGCCAGGTCCATCCTGGACTAATCTACAGGCTGCCAGGAATCTAAAGACCCACAGGTGTCAGCCTGATCTCTATGGGCTCTCCTCTTATCCACCTGAAGGTCTGTGCACCAAGGTTTACAAAGCTCAACCCCTAAACCAACTCCTGACTCAAACATTTATATTTCTCTTAGTTTGGGGGCCATTTCTGAAGTATGACAGAAACATTTCCTGCTCATGCACACGGACTAGACAAACGTGTTCCTGACGGGTTCATGATCCTACACAGACATTCAACATGTGCTTTTTAAAATTGGCAAACAAATTAAAGTGTTTTTAGTCATGTGAACTAAAACTCTATCCATGTTTTAATAAAACTAAAACTGTTTGAACAGTTTACATTTGATGACTTTTACTTTTTTTATAAAATGGATGAGAAATACAATCTGTTCTCCATGTGCTCTTTGAAGACCTCAGAACCTTGCTACTGATGGTTCGGGATCGGTTCTGCTCAGGCCTCCTGATCAGGAGCCACTGAGTGGATTTAATGAAACCAAACTGGATCAGAACCGTCTGAAGGAGCAGAGAGGAGATCAGGTGTGCAGGGCACTGATTTATAAATGCTGGGACTGATGACGTCATTCATTCTGGCTGACAGGACTCGGTTCTGGGCTCGGCTCACCTTCATGTGTAAGTCCAGCAGGGGCTTGGAGTCGCAGAACCCGGTCTTGGCCATGCTGTCCCGGGTCTGGGCCGCTGCAGCTACTTATCCACGGGCGTGTTGGAGGTCTGGGACGGAGAGAGAGCCATGGCGGCCCGGGACCACACTAATGAAGACAGCTGGGCTGCTGCTGCTGATTGGACCGAACCGAACCGGCGCCAAAGGTGAGCACCTCTGAACTTCCGGTCCACGGACTTAATTGGACCTGCGCTCCCTGCAGGTTGATGCACATGAAAACATTTCTGCCAATTAGAACTACCCAGAGTCACAAATCAAAATGATGAAGTTACACATAAAACATGATTATGGTTTGTGACGTCATAAAGTTAAAGAACTATCATCAGTTGTTGCCAGTTGTTTTTATGAGGACTAAAGAAAAGACAACATTTATTCTCGTTGATTTAAGCACGGCAGCTGTTTTTATATTTGTCAGAATGATTAATACAACTAGGTTTTTTTATTTTTTTTATTTTTTTTAGTATCTCATTGTTTTTGTGTTTGATGCTTTTAATTGCATATTTTTTATTTAATTACTGCCTTGATCTTATTTCGCACTTTGCCAACAGCTGCTGTTTTAAATGTGTTTTATAAATAAGTTTGACTTGACTTTTATATTTTAAACACTTGTATTTTGATTATTTTATGGCGAAGATTAAAAAAAAAAGTTTGTTAGATACATTCATGACTTTAATTAGCCCAAGGTTTCAACTTTTATGTCATTTTTAATCAAAGTTGAACTTTTTTCTATTATTTTCTTACCCAAAGTTAGAAGAGATCAGCTGTCTCCAGTTTTAGCTTCTCTCCATCGGCTGCCCGTCAGGATTTAAAATCTTACACAGTTGTCCTCCAATGCAAGAGTTGGGGGTTTGATTCCACCAGCAGTCACATGCAGAAGTGTCCCTGGGCAAGACACTGAACCCTTCATTACCTCTGATATGTGAGTGCTATATGAATGGGTAAATGAGGACACAGTGTGTTGTAAAACACTTTGAGCATCTTGATAAGATAGAAGGTGCTATAGAAGTACAGTCCATTCACCATTTACAATACAAAACTCTCAACAACCTACATCTTTTATTAAATATCTTATTTGCTTAACAGAGCACATCTCTCAGATTTCAGGTTTACTTGTGGTTCCTAGAGTTTCTAAAGGTAGAACATGAGGCAGAGCTCCAACTCGTTTCTGTCCATGAAGCTAACACAGTCTACTTCCTTTCAGATAAATCCTATAGTTAGGGTTGGCTTGGGTTTCCTGAGCGATCTTTTAGTTCTGCTGCTATAGGCTCAGACAGCTGGAGGACAAACCAACCACAGATCCTCACTCTGCTGCTGTCTTTACAAATACTGTCAGTCAGTTTTACTTCCCACAAAAACCACCCCTGCACCAACACTTCATGTCTCTCCTGTCCTCTAAACCCAGCCGGTCGTAGGAGGTGGACTCATCCTGAGCCCGGTTCTGCTGGAGGTTTCTTCCTGATAGAATCATCAGTCCTTTTCATGGTCACTAACGAGCTGCTCAGGATGAGAGACTGACACCAAGTTAAGATTCAGTGCATTGCATTGATTCAGTGCATTCATCTGGTGGTGAAGGTTTTGGATCAGTGAATCGACTAACTGGATCCGAGTTTGATTTATAATTTGATTTTTTTCTGGTGGATTTAAGAGAAAGATTGCACTGTTCAGCTGGAGGACAGATTATTTAATGTGGTAACAACTTAAATAACTGATCTGATCGGTCTTTGCAACATTAGTGTCATTTTGTCACCATAATTAAATTCACGTTCATTTTACTTTGGGTCAACGTTACAAAGAACCACTGCAGAGGGGCCCATGAGCCATCAGTGGCCCCAGAGCTGCAGAGTTCAGACCCCTGATCCAGTTTAACAAATGACAAAACAGGTTTTTTTTTTTTAAAGAACGACCACTTTTTCAATCACTTTGAAGGAACATTTAAATATCAAATGTTTAATCAGCATTTTTATACAACTGTAAATGGGTTAATTTCCCTTTTATAACAAATCAATTTATAATTAGATACTTTTCAAATTTTGTAGTATACTTTTTTCTGTCCAGTCTTTTTAGCGGACCATGACAACGTGCTGCAGTTTGTGACTAAAATTCATAAAACCAACAAATGGAGGACAAAAAAGTTCTACAGGAAATTAACTGCATCTGAAGGCTGCCTGCAAAAAATACTAAAAAGGGACAATTATAGTTAAAACCTGAATGAATCCATCCATTGTCTTTTACCTGTTTCTTCCTTTTTGAGTTGCGGGGATCACTGGTGCCCATGTCCAGCCATCACTGTGCGAGTGGTCGGGGACACCCTGGACACGTCTCCAGAACAGGGACACATAGAGACAACCAACCATTCACTCTCACATGCACGGATTTGGTCTGTGTGAGGAAAATGGAATACCTGGAGAAAACCCACGCATGCACAGAGAGAACATGCAAACTCCACCCAGAAAGGCCCCCGGACCAGGATTTGAACCATAAATCTATAAAAAATCTATGGGGTATTGTGAAGAGGATGCTGTGATACACCAGACCCAACAACTCAGAAGAGCTGAAGGCCACTATCAGAGCAACCTGGGCTCTCATAACACCTGAGCAGTGACACAGACTGATCCACTCCATGCCACGCTGCATTGCTGCAGTAATCCAGGAAAAAGGAGCCCCAAGTATTGAGTGATGTACATGCTCATACTTTTCATGTTCATACTTTTCAGTTGGCCAACATTTCTAAAAATCATTTTGTTTAATTGGTCTTAAGTAATATTCTAGTTTTCTGAGATACTGAATTTGAGGTTTTCATTAGTTATCAGTAATAAACATCAACATTAAAAGAAATAAACATTTGAAATATATCAGTCTGTGTGTAATGAATGAATATAATATACAATTTTCACTTTTTGAATGGAATTACTGAAATAAATTAACTTTTTCATGATATTGTAATTTATATATATATATATATATATATATATATATATATATATATATATATAAATTTTTTCATATTTTAATTTAGCCTTTATTTATCCAGGTTAGTCTCATTGAGCCACGAGAACTCATTTTCAAGAGAGACCTGTTTAGGGAGCACATGGTGGGGTTAAGGACCTTGCTCATGGGCCAAGAGTGGGGCGAATATATATATAAATAAATAGTTGGTGCTGGACTTGAATAAAAAAATTCAAACTTAACAGCAATACAAAATGTAGTCAGACACTTACTGTATTTATATCTGTATTAGAATTAGAAAAATTAGTTATTAATTTTGTTCTGTTACTTGAAGATTATTATGATTGAACTAATTGTTTGAAAAAGGGGCAGATATAATATTTTTTCTTTTTTCTGCTGCCTTTCATTTTAAATCTCTTGTATTTTTTTAATATAGTTATGAAACTATTTTGTATTTTTAAAATGAATAAACTTTATACCATACCATATCCCAAAAGTACCAGGTAACATCTGAACTATTATGGATGAATACTAAAACTAGTTAAGACCTTCAGAAAGCCTGAAAGTCTCTAAATATAAAAGCAGAATGTTGGTGTCCCAACGGTGTAAAAGCAGGACACACAGGAGACATTTCTTTTTCAGTAAAAAGGTTTACTGGCACATTATAGTTGCAAATATTATAAGCTACCATTCTGTAATGGGTACCACCCATCACAATGTAAAGTCCTTGAAATGCCTGCTAGAACGTCCTTCCTTTGAAGATTGCTTTTTTTCATTGCCCTCTGTGCATCAAAAAAAAAAAAAAGTTCTAACATCAGCATCAGGTATGACATTCCTGACCATTGATCACATTCAAATATACAGAAAAAAACATGGTAAAGCTGCAAATTAAAGACTACAAAGCTTCAGGCTTCCCCTGCTAATGCTGCATTCACCATCAAGCTCCTTTTTTCTCTTTTTGGTATTTACAGAAAAGCAAAGAGGCACTTGTTGTGCCAGTGTACGCCTACAGGAGAGGTCAGGGCTTTTTGAACTTGCATGTTCAGCTGTAAAGCATTGCTTATAGCGTGGCCGACAAAGAGCTTCAGTCTATGGCTTCGCCACCACCACCGAGTCCAGCAGCAGCCCCTTGTGGCCATGATAGCAATGAAGGCAGTTCCACAGTGGAGTCCATCAGTGCAATGGTTCTGATCCGGGCCTTCCATGCCCTGAGCAGGACTCCGGGTCAGAGTGATGGCTGTGCCTGAGCCGATGAGAAGAGGTGCTGGAGTTGTAAAAGAAAAGCCATCCGATCGCTGTGTTTCCTGCAGAAAGTGAGGCCACCATGTGGTCGCTGCCGAGTCACAAACCTGCTGCTTTTTCTGCGTTCAGATCAACACACGCGCGCACACATACACACACTAACACTTACACACAAAACAATTAAAATGTGATGAGGAATTTCCAAGAGAAAGCTAATGAGATTATGTAACCAACTTTAATTACTATAGTTTTACTATAGTAATTACTAGGATAGTCAGTAATGTCACTTTTATTATTCTCTTTTCACTGAACATAGTTTGCTCCTGACTTCACTGATTCAAATTAATTAAATAAGCTCATTCTTACAAGCTTCAGCTAAATTATTTTTTTAAGCCAACCTGTCTTTGTTAGCTAAATGTCTCCAGTTTTACAAATTATCTTCAATGCTTTTTTGTCCACAGCTATTTTAATTATGTTGATTAAAAGCTGTTAATTCAGGATTAAAATAATTTTATTCTGTTTGACAGTCAATCCCATCATCCTCTGAATGAAATTCCCATGAGATGAAAAACTTAAAATATTTTAAAACAAAACAAAAAAATAAACAAAGTTGGAAAAACTTTTTTAATATATATATTTTATATAATGTACTTAAACAAGACAGCATGTCTTCCGAAATTTGAGAGATGAGAAATTGATGAGGAAAGAAAAGCTCAAACAAAAACAAAGACAAAATCATGTTATGTTCCTCCTGTGAGACAGGACCAACAACTCTTCCAGCATAGTGTAATTATAGAAAACATTCGTGTCAGTTCAAACATGCTCCAGCTCCCTGCCCACGGCTTCTTTCAATCATGTGCCTTCTTGACGTAAAGTTTACAGGAGAGTATTTTAACTTAACATATCGATACTTTAATTAAAGTTTACAGGTGCATGTTTTAATTTAATGTATCAAAGCCTTCGTGATGTAACGTTTACAGGTGAGTATTTTAATTTAATGTATCGATACTTGAATTAAAGTTTACAGGTGCATGTTTTAATTTAATGTATCAAAGCCTTCTTGATGTAAAGTTTACAGGTGGGTATTTTAATTTAACGTATCGACACTTGAATTAAAGTTTACAGGTGCATGTTTTAATTTAATGTATCAAAGCCTTCTTGATGTAAAGTTTATAGGTGAGTATTTTAATTTAACGTATCGATACTTGAATTAAAGTTTACAGGTGCATGTTTTAATTTAATGTATCAAAGCCTTCTTGACGTAAAGTTTACAGGTGTGTGCTTTAACGTATCAATACTTAATTTAAAGTTTACAGGTGAGTGTTTTAATTTAACGTATCGATACTTGATTTAAAGTTTACAGATGAATGTTAAAATCGAATGCATCAATGCCTTCTTGATGTTAAGTTTACAGGTGTGTGTGTTTTAATATATTGTGTCAATACCTTCTTGATGTAATTTGCAGGTGTTTTAATTTAACGTATTATTGCCTACTTGAATTAAAGTTTACAAGTACATATTATAATTTAACATATCAAAGCCTTCTTGATGTAGTTTACAGATGTGCGTTTTATTTTAAGATGTCAATGATTTCTTGCTGTAAAATTTACAGATATGCGTTAGCCTTCTTGACGTAAAGTTTAAAGTTGCATGTTTTAATTTAATGTATCAATGCCTTCTTGACGTAAAATTTACAGGTGTATGTTTTAATTTAATTTATCAATGCCTTCTTGACTTAAAAGTTTACAGGTGCATGTTTAACATATTCATGCCCTCTTGATGTAAAACTTACAGGCCTGTTTTAATTAAACGTATCAATGCCTTTTGACAAAGTTTACAGGTGCATGACTAACATATCAATGCCTTCTTCACTTAAAAGTTTACAGGTACATGTTTAACATATTGCCTTCTTGATGTAAAATTTACGTGTGTCTTAATTTAACGTATCAATGCCTTTTTGACAAATTTTACAGGTACATGTTTAATGTATCGACGCCTTCTTGGTGTAAAATTTACAGTCGTCTTAATTTAACGTATATATGCCTTCTTGATGTAAAATTTACAGGCGTGTGTTAATTTAACGTATCAATGCCTTCTTGACTTAAAGTTTACAGGTACATGTTTAACATATTCATGCCCTCTTGATGTAAAACTTACAGGCGTGTGTTAATTTAACGTATCAATGCCTTCTTGACTTAAAGTTTACAGGTACATGTTTAACATATCATTGCCTTCTTGATGTAAAATTTACGTGTGTCTTAATTTAATGTATCAATGCCTTGTTGACAGTGATTTTTCAGGTACATGTTTAATGTATTGATGCCATTTTTATGTAAAATTTACAGGCATGTCTCAATTTAACGTATCAATGCATTCTTGACGTAAAGTTTACAGGTGCATGTTTAACGTATCGACGCCTTCTTGGTGGAAAATTTACAGTTGAGTGTCTTAATTTAACGTATAAATGCCTTCTTGACGTAAAGTTAACAGGCGTGAGTTTTAACGTATCAATGCCTTCTTGACGTAAAATTTACAGGTACATGTTTAACATATCATTGCCTTCTTGAGTAAAATTTACAGGTGTCAATTTAATGCACCAATGCCTTCTTGACATAAAATTTACAGGTACATGTTTAATGTATTGACGCCTTCTTGATGTAAAATTTACAGTTGAGTGTCTTAATTTAACGTATCAATGCCTTCTTGATGTAAAATTTACAGGCGTGTTTTAATTTAACATATCAATGCCTTCTTGACGTAAAGTTTACAG